ATATATTTCTCTTTAATTACCTGTGTAAAACAGAAACCTGTCCAACGCGGAAACGGAAAGAAAAATCCGTTCCCTACCAAGGTTTTTTTTTACATGTCTAAGACGGAAAGCTTTGTCCGCTCGGCCCTGATTTGAAACAAAACTCGCAAGTTTGGTTCCGCGGGGTCTAAACTTAATGAACTTAATGCCATGCTGCGGGCGGAGTAGGGTTGCAATTTGAGGGTAGATGTTACCTCATCTATGTGAGCCCTGAGCCATGAAGATGGTCAGGGTGGTGTAGGTGTAAAATCTCACGAGTGCAAGTGAAAGTGCTCGAATGACGCTCCAGCTTGAAAACTTTCATTAGTAGTAGCCAGAAGCCAGAGGTGTGAAATTAGTTTGACCAATGCCTGCCACCCTGATCGTACAGCTAGCCGAGAAAAGAGTTCCTCAAATTGTCGTTACTTGGCAGTGAGGGGTGGCATTGGTTGACTGAACTTATTACACCAATGTGTGGGACTAAAGGTGGAAGCAAAGAAGATATTCAAACGTTTCTGTTTTTAATAGGTCGAACAGTGGTCCAATGAAATGCAAGCTCTGTGGTAATTGGAATAAGAATGAAGCATATCATTTTTCAGAGATGGTAGCAGCTGAGAGGTGTGAAGTTTTGACCCCTTGTGACAGCTTGCCGACCGGACAAGCGACTCTTGATCCCACCGGCCTGGCCTTTGAAACCCCTTCCACTCCTCCCCCCTAAATTCCCCTGCCTGAGATGGAATTTTTTTCAGGCTCCCTTGCGATTCCGTCTTACACAGGTTCGACTGTATACTTTTAAAAATTAGATTAGTGGAAGATTCTACAACTACAAAGGAACGCAAGTTGCAGTTGCAGAGAAGTCTTTGCCTGGTGTGATTAACCTTGTTTAAGTAGACCTAATTACCCTGATTTAATTTCTAGATTAATCCGTGTGGTTTTACATTATGTAGCTTAATATGGATGAGCTGGGGTTTAACTTTAAAGGTACGTGCTCTAATTTTTGTACCGTAGCTAGCTGGCATAGCCCTAGGCCTACATTTCATGGCTTCAGTAACGATAATGACACCATAGTGTTTTAAATGAAGTTTCAGCCTTTGATGCTTAATACTGTCCCCGTAGGATTGTGCGGCCGCGTTTTTTCGCGTAATTCTGCAACATTTGCATAATTTTGGATTATCCGCGTGTTTTCACGTGTTTTTCCTTTTTTTTCATGTGTTTTTCCTTTTTTCACAAAACAATTAATTAACGCCCCGCCATGTGGCTAAAGGGACGTAATCACCATAATAACTCATTTAAGTGAAAAGTTGGTTATTTCCCTTGTTAGAAGATCTTGGTTATGGGTTGTGGTTTTGTTCCTTGAGCATGTTCAATTTTTCAATCCATCAAAAGTTGTTCTCATGTCTGCTGATGTTTCATATTTGACAGGTGTCCCTGGTTTTAGTAATGTGCCAGCATCAGAGGTCCAGATGTCCTTTTTTATGGCGTCGGTGGCCTAGTGGTTAGGCTCTCGGACTCGCAACCGTAAGGTCGTGGGTTCGAATCCCGTCAAGGGCCCTACGTTGTGTCCTTGGGAAAGGCACTTTACACGAATTTTCCTCACTTCACCCAGGTGGGAATGGGTACCCGGCTATAGACAGCGAAAGATCTTGTCAGTTTGTTAGTGTTTGAGCGCTTAATCGGCTGCTCGCACTGTATGCTTCCCGGGAAGCTGAGAATGTTTCGGAGTGTTCTATGGTCTGCTGGGGTAATAATATAGTGTAAAGTGCATAGAGCCTGCTTCTGAGCGGGGATATGCGCTATACAAATGCTATCTATTATTTTTTTTATTTTTTTTATTATTTTTTTTTAAACATTTTTCTTTCCTCATCTAGAATAGATCTACAGCTGAAAGTTACAGAGATTATTTTTTTTGGTTTTTTTTTTTTTTTTTTTTTTTTTTTTACTGATGTTTATTGTTTTCTTTTCCAAATACACAACAAATTACTGATACTGATATGTTCTGTTTTCAATTTTTCTGTACATAAAACATGAAAATCATGAAACTTCGCGTAGAAAAAGTGCAAAACATGTCGCGAATGGTGTTACGGTAACTTGCATAATTTTGCTTTTTTTAGGGCATTATTTGGCCTTCTAAATTTGCATAATTTTACGGGGACAGTGAATAACAATAAGAGCATTTGTATCCTGCCTTTCCCCACAGCATGGGCCCAAGGCGTAATAGGAGATTAAAAACGCATTCATACTAACAGTACTAACACCATACAAATTCATCATGTGCGCACTTTTTGACAGCAACATTCTTTCAGACAATAAAAAATGCTCATACAAAGAGGCAAAAGTAGCCTACTGTCCTTTAATTAAAATATTTCTTATGCGTTTTGAGTCCCTTTTTAAAGGTATCAAGTTTTATTTCGCTCCTCAAATCATGAGGGAGAGTGTTCCAAACTGTTGGCCCAGAAAAAGAAAAAGCTCTCTCACCACATTTCTTCTGTGACACACGAGGTGTTGAAATTAGTCTATAGCCACTTGATCTTAGTTCACGTGATGGTGTGTATGGTACAATGAGTTCTTGAACGTTTGTGGGAGCTAGACGGGTTAATTTGACCTTTGAAGCATAGTATAGGGCTAACTTAAA